TCTGCCCTACGGGAAACTACGTATGAATATGGACTGTCTGAAGGGTTGAAGGTCTCAGAACCCCATGTACTTCTACAGACCTGTGAGAAGGATCCGGCCTTACTGATGTGAATCCTGCCTGCTTGTCAGAATAGAGTGCAGAAGAACAGACCGAACTAACTGCTCTGGGAAATTATGTTTCAGGTGTCATTGAAAACATTTGTTAACACCTCTTGAAATCAATTCAGAGATAGTGCAGGAGAATGATTTCTAAACTTAGTTACAGAAGCCCCTGAGTGAGTTTCCCTTTGGTTGTGTGTCTTAACAAAAGAAAAACCAAGTGGCTTCAAAGAAAAAGGTGGAACTGAAACAATTCATATCCCAACTAGTTTAATCCTAACTAGAACAGAATGTGCTGGTTTATCAAGTTTCCATTGATGGGGATCTACCCTAGTCGGAATTAGCAACTGGATTTAAGACAGACTAAAAAGAAAGAAACAGTTGATCATTCTTACATCTTTCTGAAGAGGATGTTCCATAAATAGGACTGGGGATGTTTATCTCCCCAGTCTTTGAAGGTAAACACATCAGGAGGAGAAGCTGTAAAGCTGATCTGAAACGTCACATAGACCTTCTTCTACGTGAAGAAACTTCTTCCAATTGAGGTTCAAGGTCTACCTCAACTGGTTGTGTTTAGTTGCAGTTCATCCTAAGGGAGTGATAAGACATATACACACATATTTCTAAAAAGAGAAATGCTCACCCAGTTGAGCTTCCTGTTGTTGTTGTTTAGTCGTTAAGTCGTGTCCGACTCTTCGTGACCCCATGGACCAGAGCATGCCAGGCCCTCCTCTCTTCCACTGCCTCCCGGAGTTGGGTCAAATTCATGTTGGTTGCTTCAATGACCCTGTCCAACCATCTCATCCTCTGTCATCCCCTTCTCCTCTTGCCTTCACACTTTCCCAATATCTGGGGTCTTCCTAAGCCGGTCTAAAGTTTCCAGTCAGCAAAGACATCTCCCCATGTATAATACATTGTGGGGTCTTCCTAAGCCCGTTTAAAGTTTCCAGTCTCCAAAGACATCTCCCCATGTATAATACATTGCTTTAGTGTAGCCTTCCATGACACATTGACACATTTACTCTTTCAGATAGCTTGACAACAACCAATTGAAAGTTATATGGTTAGTCCCTTTTGGGGATAACAAGAGCATAGCCAAATTACTTTTCAAATAATGTAAAGGGGATGAAGAAAGTTACTTTATTGGTGTAATGAGTACCACTTTCTACTGTTGTTCAAAACTTTCTAAAGGTGTTTTGATGTATTTTAGAAGCATTTTAGCAAGGCTTTTTTCCTAGTTTTATGCCCTTTACTTTTTTCAGTGTTACAGTTAGTTTTTCAACACTGCAATGAATAATGCAGACAAGTTGCTTTTTTAAAAGTAACTTTCCAAGTGGTGCTTTTTCTTTGAGGTAGAAGACAGATATGGAGTGCCAACCTTGCATCCAGATTCATGTTGCAATGCATGGCGGATAGGAAGCCTGCCCGGCCCTGACAACCTAGGTGGGTTTTCTTTTGAGCCTAGAGACATTCCCTTTTTTTGGACTACAACTCCCAGAATTCCCTGAGCCACCCTGGCAATACATGGAAGTTGTAGTCGAAAGAGGAAAACACGTCTAAGGTTTTTTTTCCCCCCTTTGAAAACTCAACTCTAAATACAGGTTTTCTGCCTGCAGACAACAATATTGACTTCCTCATGTTTTATGCATGTAACGTGATCCCATTGTGCTGAGGAGAGTGGCTGGAATGGAGTAATTATTTAGAAACAAGGGCCAGAATCCTGTGGGTGGTTTATAGGTTTTATGTACCCTGTGACACAATCAAGTGGGCACTCCTCTGAACAAGACCAGCACCTCATGAGGTAGCAGAGATGGGGCCTCATGAGTTGCCACTCACGGTCGAGTCTGGCTTAAGTGGCATCCGTAACTTGACTCAGACATGACTCAAGTGTTTTTTTGGGAAGACCCAGACTCGACCCATGATGTGGACCCATTTTTCTGAGTCGTGTTCTTGAGTCCTCATTAGGATGGCCTCTTTACCTGTTTAGGCCACGACCCAAACCTCAAAGGCAGCAGACCCCGCTTCCCTTCCAGAAGCCAGCCTGGGGGGGTTAGTCTGTGGAACTCCTTGCCACAGGATCTGGTGAGACGGCAGGTGGCCTAGAGGCCTTTCAAAATGACAGATTCCTGGAGGAAAAGTCCACTGTAGGTGGCAAGCCATGATGGGGATGTACAATCTCCAGGCATGTAAGGAAAGGACCCCTCCAATACCAGATGCAGGGGAGGGGGTCAGGAGACAGGGATCTCGTGGTCTTGTGGGCTCCCAGAGGCATCTGGTGGAGCAAATTGTGAGATACAGGAAGCTGGACGAGAGGGACCCTTGGCCTGATCCAGCACAGGGCTCTTCTGATGCACTTATGTTCTAAGCTGGCTGCTTCCTCTGCCCACACACGAAGTGGCCCAGCTAAAAGGCTGGTGCATGCGCAGAGATGAGGGGCTGGCTCCAGGAAGGGACGTTGACCCGCTCTCTCCCCACATGCTCGTGTGCCCGCCCAGCATCTCCTTCAAGGCCCACTGTCAGCACACATGAGCGCCGCGGAAGGTGGAGCAAATGACTTGAGACTCACGACTCAAAAGATTGCCAACGTGCCGGTGGGGTAGTGGCAATCTGCCAGGATAAGTTATGCAGTTTAACCTCCACACACAAAAGGATTCTGACCTCCATTTTATGGGTTGTAACAAGAAGACTGCAAATCGTCGGGACCTTTTTTAAAAAGTCTCTCTATTCTTAGCAAACTATGCTCGAGCCACTGAAAGCTTCATTTCAGGAGCTGATGAGACCCAGAGCTGGAGGAAGGGGGGGGGGGAAATGCTTAAAAATAAGCAGAGGTCACTATGAAGAAAAGAATTAAACTGCCTTTGAAATTTAAAGCTGTTGTAATAACTTTTCTGGCCGCGTGCAATAAACTGGAATGCTTTAAGGTTTAAGGATGGCAAAGAGGTGGAATTCATTACAGAAGGCTAACTCCTGAGGAGAGGATTACCACGTAAGTGGGTGAGAGCATTTCCCCCTGTGCCAGAAATTAATCCAGCAGCCTTTGTATGTGCATCTGATGCCATGTTTAGCCAGTTTTATTCCAAACAAATCCTCAGATGAAAGACGGAACTGAGAAGAAATTAACATTGCAAGCTGGGGTCAACTGCATTATGTTGAGAGGAAGCAACCGAATGATCTCATGTGATGAGAGGTCTAAAAACGGTATTCCTCCCTCCATCACAGTACTAAATCTCCATCTGTGATATAAACAATGACGTTCCAGTTTTAGAACTAAAATGGATTCAAAGAGTGGTGTTTCCTTAGTGATTAGAAAAGCGTTGTATGGGCGCAGCCTCCCCCCTAAAAAGATGCACACACTGTACTCCACTGAAGGGTATGCAACTACAGTGGGAACATCTTTAATGAGCACCTGTTATATCTCCTATTAAGAGGTTTTTTTTTCAAAATGCTTGTTCAATTTAGCGCTATGTCAGATGAGCACTACAGTTTCACAAGTCGTTATATCAAATCAGCATTACGTTACTTAGCAAAATTTAAAGAAAAAAGGCATCTCATCGTCAGTGAACACACCCACCCTCCATAGCATTAAACTTAAAGGTTCCTCTTGACATTTTAGTCAGTCATGTTCGACTCTAGGGGGCAGTGCTCATCCCCATTTCCGAGCCATAGAGCCAGCATTTGTCCAAAGACAGTTTCCGTGGTCACGTGGCCAGTGCGACTAGACACGGAATGCTCTCCATGGCATTAGGAGAGATATTAATAACCTTTGACCTGCTCTGCTGGAAAGGACCCTTTGGATCATAGTCCAGCCCCTCTCAAAGAGGTACAGTAGAGAATTGAGCTGCCAACCTCGACAACAACAACCCCCCCCAAAAAAAAAAACCAATGCAAGCCAACTCAGTACCAAAAAGGAAAGTCTCTGGCTCCTGCTAGCTGAAAAACAAAAACCAAGGAACGCCCATGGAAAAAAGGCTTATTTGAGATTAGGGCACATTGTGTATTGATGGAAAATACATCGGATTTAACTGTGCCAGCTCTGGCATGAACTAGGAAGTAAACTGAATGTAGTCGTTCTCTATGTTTCAGCTGGAAAGGAAAAAACATCTAACAGTTATATCGGTATTAGATGGCCCTTTAAGTTTACATTATGTGACTACACTAAAGCTATACCAGTAAGAGGTAACTCACACTGAGTCCAGACTGTTAAAGATGAATCAGTTAGTTGATTCTGCTAAATCCTTCTGAAGAAGGATGTGCCTTAACTCAGCAGGTTATGAGCATATCTGATGCATCAGAGAAAAATCAAAGATCATAATGGTAGCAGCGGGCAGGACCGGGGAAAGAGTTTCGATTCAATGTAAACAGAATGTAGGTTCCAATAATTTCTAAACTTAAATGCAAAGATTTAAGTTTAAATAAAAATTGAGTTGAGTTGACCACATTTTAACCAAAATGTCTGGGTTAAAAAAATCAAACCATCAGCTCCAACCTCTGAATAATAATAATAAATAAAGAAGGAATAATGATGCGATGCTCTTTGACTGTTAACATTACGAGCCCTCCGTCAAGGAGAACACTGGAGTTGGCCAGTTTCTGGAATGTTCCCACCAAGCCCCGAGAATCCCCTCTTTTGATTTCCTCACACAGCAAGAACAAATGGGCAATCAATAAACAACACCCATGCATGGGATATTACACACACAGTTTACTGGACAGACGCCCCCACACTGTCCAAGATCGCCCTGTCACAAAGACTGTTCTAAAAGCAGGCATCTTTAGACCTCCCTTCCTGCCTCTTGCCAAAGTTTTTTTGGATGCTCAGAAAAGGACGCTGACGTCAACGTCAAAGTAAACCAACGAAGCCTGCCTGCCGGAGCATCAAGGGAGCATTCTGGAGTAAGGGAAGAGACCGCTGGAGGCTGAGTTGGTGCTCTGGGAGGAACAGCTGGGGTTTCTCAGCCAAGCAGAAGAGACAGGTAAGGCCTTTGCTGGACAAAACGAAGGAGTGCAGACATTTGTGTGAGAGGGAAGGGAGGAAAGAAGACTCCCTGGGAATAGTCATCTTTTAGAGATAAGAGAACATGTGCTAGGAAGAAGGCTTTGACATGTGACAGCCACACGCCGTTGTTCTTCCATTAAGTATATTGTGTGTTCAATGGGTCCCCGGAGAATTACACATCTCTGAAAAGAGACAAGAGTCGTTGAAGATCAAACTGTGGGGAAGAAGCTTAAGAAAGAGCAACGGGGAGAAAAATCATCACAGCTTCTTTCACGATTCCTGGGTCAAATGGTGATAAGAGCGATTGCTAAATTCAAAGGTACCGCCACAAAAGACCATGTTTCTTCGGCTGAGGGGGGGGTGTTAAAGAAGATTGTGAACTAAGCTTGGGGAGGGGATTCTCCTTCTGGATGACATCTCTCAGAATCCCCCCAGCTATGCTGGAGTCCGAGAAGGGAATTTTGTGTGTGTGTGTGCTTTGATCATGAACGGCTAACACAACTGACGATGGCTAACAGGGCTATGCCATTTGTGCTTGTTCACGAGAACCAAGGAATTTAGCTGGCTGACACAGTGTGAATGACGGCCATCATATCCTGGGTTATGTCTAATGAAACAGGATTTAAAATAGGATTTAAAACAGGGCTGAATGCTGGCATGTCAAAACCTGTATTCCCAAATGATGACTTAGACTTAAACCAGACTTGTGAAGAGTTGGGGGGCTGCAATGGGTTCGTGCCCCCTTTTTGCGATCCAGAAAAAGACACACAGTGTGCATGTGCGTGCGTGTGTGTGTGTGTCAGCAGGTGCAGAGAGAGAAAGTTTTTTGGGATCCAGTAGCATTCGCATAAGCATGTCTGAAGCTTCTGAATGACTCAGAAACTTGGCCGGCTTAATTCTATTATTGGTGTGATCAGTCACAGTTGCTGTTATTGGGGGGAAAAACACAACAGGGAGGGCTTTGAACTTCTTTATTGTCATTCTTGATCCGTTCCTGATGAGATGGGATGCACAACAAAAACAAAAAGCAAAGCGTGCTGCTTATAGACCGCCCCCATAGCGCTTAAAAGCCCTCTCTGGGTGATTTGCAATTAAATTATGCAGGCTACACAATTGGTGCAGCCGCCACCCAATAAAACGAGCTGGATACTCGTTTTACTGGCCTCAGACAAATGAGCAGGGGCACTCACATCCCTTCAGTGCTTGGAAGTAATGTATGGAATAATGCATACACAGAGTTGCATGGCCTGGCCATGCACAGCCCACTGCCAACGCAGCAGCCTCCCATTGCCAACGCGGTGCCCACAAAACATCACATGCCACCCGCTAAAATCTCCTCTTTTGCATGGCTCAGGGGCAGAGGAGTCTTGCCCTCCATTTAATATGGGCACCTTTGTTACACCCCCACCCACCCCCAGAGGTCTTGCTCCTCTGCATCAAGGGGAACCTCGGCGCAATCAGCCTCGCCGTTCACAGGGAGCAACGGTGCTCGCTGCGTTGACACTACAGTACATGGATCCATGCCTCTAGCAATCTAAGGCCCAAAGGTTGTGCGTGGCCTCCAGAAACCCAGACATGGGCCCCCAGCAACCCCAGTCCTCCTAACCCCCCCCAATAACTTTATCATTTGTGAGTGGGGCCCTCCAAGATCCTACATTCATGTATGTGTAGAGGTGTGTTTGTGTGTCTTTGTGCATGACAGCATCCCCCTGCCTCTACGGAGTTTCTCCGTTGTGTCCTGCAAATGATAGCCCCCTCCTGACACCCCCAAAGGCACAAAGGGTGTAGAGTTGTCTATAGGATGAATCAGTGGTGCAGCACCCTTCACACATTCTGCCTACACAAGGAACAATTTATCTGAACCACTCCCACTTCACGGTCACACTGAAGCCACTAGCGAGTTCCGTTTCCCCTACACAGAACTTTGAGCCATTTTCTCTGGGGAGGGTTTCTACACTCACCATCTGGCTCCCTCAGGTCCAGCATGGAACTAGTTAAGTCTCCCATGATGGGAAACTATGAGGAATTAATTCTCGGGGAAGAGAGTGGGAAGATATTGTTGTTTTGTTCCCTCTCTCTTCTTCCCCCTGCTTACACAAGCAGCAAGCTTTTTCTTTCAAACTTCAAGGCTGACTAAATCAGCATTGAACCTGCTGTTTGTTCCACTGTGGAGACATTGGTTCATTCCTAAAGATGGCAATCAGACAACATCTCTGTTAGAGCAAACCAGCACACCGACACCCCCCTCCCTTCCCGGCCCCAAGCAATCCTATCTGTACTTTTCTGAGCCTCTGTCAGGATGTCTACTTTTTCGGTGGAGTTGCAATCACTCTGGTTTGGATCGGGTCCAGTGCATGTGATCCCTGGAACTTATCCAAAGCAAGCCTTTCTGTTTGAATTGGCCAAAATCATGAAGTGGCTTCATAAGTGAGCCACTTTAGAATATTGGCAAATCAATCAGCTTCCTCTGCTCCTCCATGGAGGAGCAGGGGAAGTGAATTTATAACAGACCATTGGAATAATGGGAAATTGCTGATGCATTGCATCAGTTTTGCATTTTTTTAAAAAAAATCTTTGCCTTGTCTTAAAGGACAAATGGGGGGGGGGGGTTTAAAACCCACAGTCAAATCCAACAAATGTGTATTTTGTTCTTTTTTATTTTATAACTGATGTAGCACATCAGTGATGTTCTATTACACCATTTTAAAAGAAATTCACCTCTGCCTTTCCATCAAGGAGCAGAGTTCAATTTGACTATGCCATGAAGTGGCTCACTTATTAAGCCACGTCATGATATTGGAAATTGAAGGAGCCAGAGCAAATAAGGCTTCTTGAGCTCCAACGTGCTATTTGGATGCAAGAACTGTACCAAATGGCATGTTGCATCTCCACCTTGTCCCAGACAACTCTGTTTAGTCTGCAACAACCCAGTCCAAAAGAGACTGTGCAGTTAAACCTCAATTGATGCACAAGGGGTAACTTGCAGGGGAAGAGTAGCAGTGGGGAGGAATGAATCAGAAAATCATACAATCATGGAGTTAGAAGGGGCCTGTGAGGCCATCAAGTCCAACCCGTTGCTTGGTGCAGGAATTCAAAGTAAAGTATATCCAACAGATGCTTGTCCAATTAACTCTTGAATGCCTCCAGCACCTTCCAAGGTAACTGGTTCCATTGTCATACTGCTCTAACAGTTACAAACTTTTTCTTGATATTCAGCCTAAATCTGGCTTCCTATAACCTGACCCCATTGTTGCGTGTCCTACACTCTGGGATGATCAAGTATTTGAAAAGTGCTATCCTATCTCCCCTACGTCTTCTTTTCTCAAGGCTAAACCGGCCCTGTTCTTTCAGTCTTTCTTCCCAGGGCTTGGTTCTCAGTCCCCCGACCATCCTTGTTGGCCTCCTTTGAACTTCTGGTTTGTCTGAATTCTTCTCAAGGTGTCGTGTCCACAGAAAGGGAAAAGGAGTGGGATAGAGGAAGAGAAGGGGTAAAGGTAGTAGGTAGGAAAAGAGAAAGGGATTAAGATAGACAAGGATATGACCCTGTTCTAGGCATGTAAAGACTGCGTGCTAAATGGTTCAGTCCCATCAGCTCAGAGTGCAATCAAACAATGAGAAAAGTGTGCATCTGGATGCACTGGAAAGGATCATTTTGCTGGGAGCAATCTCCTTTAAAGCAAACCTTCCATCCATTTGAGGAATCACACCAACCCAGCCTGCAAAAGCGGAAGCCCTACGGAGGAGGACCACCAAGGTCCCGCTTGGACATGGTCTGGAGCACTATTCCCAGTACACTGTTTGATCCCCAGGAGATAGCTCTCACTGGACCACGGCAGAAGTGTTTCAGAATGTGAGCGACGACCTGCCTATGGGGTCCCACCTCAGGTTGTTTTGGCTTGATGGGAAATGTTGGCGAGGGTTTTCCAAGTCCTTTGAGAGGGTCCTTCTCTGCAAATAAGAGCTAGGAAAGGAGAGCCATTTTTTAATCAATAAGATCTCCATAATTTTTGCGAAGGAAAAATTACCATCACCACCACACAACAAGGGACTGATGGTTATAAAAGACGCAGATAATTTCTCTGGTGACTTCTCAACTTCCCGAGAACTATAGTTCTCAACCTTGGTTTCCCAGAACCCTTCACCACGAGCAGTGCTGGCCAGGAGTTCTGGAAGCTGCCGTTAGAACCATGGTTCTCAACCTTGGTTTCCCAGGTGTTCTTGAACTAAAACTCCTAGAACCCTTCACCACGAGCTGTGCTGGCCAGGAGTTCTGGAAGCTGCCGTCCGAGAACACCTGAGACCCAAGACTTAGAGAGCAGGTGTTTCTATTGCTCCACATGACATGACAGCACCAAAAGCATATCCCCTCCAGCTCCCTACCCAGTTCCTTCCATTCCCTTCTCTTTTTTTAGCACACAGAGGTGGGGTCCATCATGTTATCTGGAGCAAAGCAAGGAGTGGAGCACTGGCATTGTAACTCATGAACCTTCTTGTGACACATTGCCTGCCCTTCCTCTGTGATGCAGCACCCTAGACCTTGGCCCTGAACTCATGAGGGTTGAGATGCTGCCAACCAAGAAACCTTTTCCTCCAACACCATTTTCAGTTCCAAGCAGTTGGCTAACAGGATTTCTGCTTTCCTATTAGGGTAGAGTGTCTGCTGGAGTCTTTCTTTCTTTAATCTCCTTAACTTTTCTTCAACAGTATACTCGCTCCCTTTTTTTGTTTACACTATTCTTGTGAATGAAGGCATATGTTTCAGCTGTTCCAGTGTACATTGAACGGAGCTGTCGCTTGCAGTGTTTGAAAACCTTAAAATAAATAGTTTAGAAAGGAAGCAATCCATCGACGGAGCCGTTTTTTCCAGGGTGATCCGGAGGGTTTCCTGGAATATCAGCCTGTTTTTCTGGTTGAGGTGCAAAAGGTGAAAGGAAAATATTCCTATGCAAACATGTACGGTCCCTACAGTTTTGATAG